ACACGAGTTTTCTTCCATAAGAAACAAATAACAGTGCAAGATTTCCCAAAAAGGATGAAATGAAAACAAAAAACTGTGAACCAACGGAAACCCATTATTCTACCATTGAAGAGGACGAATCCTTGTTGCTATTCGACTGGATACAAATAAACATACACGAGCAACATACGAGAAAAACCGACACATACATGCACATTGGAAAATATGAACAAAATAATTGGGAGAAAATCAATACTTGGAAGTGGATTGGCCTTTGCAGAGCTCGGTGCTGCAGGAAAGAGCGCCCTTGTGCAGCCAAGAATACGTGTCGACGGCGACGAAACAGCCCTCGAGCTCCTTAATGTGAATCGGATTCATAATCGATTTCAAAAGGGGCAACAGACCCTGTATGCCCATTTTCGAATCTTGATCGAGAAATCAAGAAAAAAAAATAGATCTGGGGCGTGCGCCCGGAAATGGCGGAATACTGGAGGACTGAAAAAGGTCAAGTTGAGCTCAGAAAACCCTAATCTTGGATAATGATGGGGCTAACCTGTGAACAGAAATGGGGTCTTTTCGAAACCCCATAGAGAGGAGGAAGAGGAGGAAAAAGGCGGGAAGACGCCAAAATAAATTCACTTGGCGATTGTATATTTTGGGCCTCCTTAGTGGGCTGGACTGGTCATGCAGCCCAACCAAAAGAATGGAAGTATGGAACTCCATTAATGCCTTATAGGCTTCAACAAGATATAGCGTTATAAACCATTCGAAACAAGCTCGAGTTGCTAATACTCAAGCTCAAATTTCTATTACTCGATCTCGAGCCTTTATCGAGTTGAACTCAATTCGTTAGTTAAACGAGACAATAAATGAGCTCGAGTTCAACTCGCTTATCAATATTTATAAGTCGAGCTCGAACTACTAAGGGTGTGTTTGTTTCTGAATTATCTCAATTCATATCCAATTCATACTCAAAATCTAACTAAATTTTAATTCAATCATATTATTCTCAATATTATTAATATAATCTCAATATAAATAAATAATAGCAATTCATCATTGTTGTATATTATATCAACTTTAATTCACTATTTATCTACCAACATAATTTTTACCAATCATCCTCGTAAAAGCTCCAGTGAAACTAACAAAAAATACACGTTTCTTATTTTGTGTATTAATGTATTTTATAGATAATGTCCACATCAACACCAGAAAGCGACGAACAAATTTCAATAATTTTCTGAATGACACGTCATAAGATATATCGTGATAATAATCGACCACAAATTAATAGAGGCACGCTGGCATATCTCGAGGAATTTCATAAAAATCCCACTTGGCCTTTCAATTGTATGGGTAATTCAAATAATTGACCTGTCAAAAACATAGACTTAATTTAACTAAATTAAATAAAGAATATAAAAGAAAAAAATTATGCATCCGCTCTCGGCATATGCTGTGAGGTGACAGCGTGTCGGGATTATCCATATTTAGTATCTAGCTGGCATCCACAAATAAATGTAAGTAAACCATATGCACTGTTCCAATAATTAACTAATCCCGTGGTGTCATGCACGGGCAAACTCATATCTTAAAACTTTTTTTTCTTAACTTTATTTTAAAACATTTCATTATTGGTTTCTCAATATGCATTTTTCATAATTAATTACCATACAAGTAAAATAACTAATTGATTGATATAATTAATTCCTATAAAAAATAAGCAATTAATTAGTTTTCATGCATATTAGATAAGACATCTTATAAATATATCAACCAAATGCGGGATTTTCCTATTTTTTTATAAAATATTTTCAAATAAAATTAAGAAGGCTCCACATAACATCAGAGATGTAAAGGACTTTTAATAAAAATATGAAATATTCTAACTTCGAAGTTTAATATTTATTTATTTATTATTATTAACTTATCTATAGATATGTATTTTTTTAAAGCATGATATGTAATCATAAAGGTTTTAATTAAAAATTATCTATTTTATTGTCAAATTTATTGAGCACAAAAAAAAAGTGAAGGATTGACATATTATTTTATTGTAATTACTTATACATAGATTAAAAAAGTTTTAGAAATGTTTGAAAACTTAACTACTTGATGAAATATTTGATTTCAAAACAAAATAGATTTTATAATCATATAATTTATTTGCTACGTTTATGGTTTGTAATTATCCTATAATTCCAATTTTTTCTAATTGACCATAGTTTTTGGGTATTCTCATAAGTTTTGAGATTATTTAAATTAAGGAGTACTTTGAATTTTTCCTTTTTAGTTTAGTAAAGTGATTCCAAAATTTTGGAAAGATTGATAAATATTTTAATTTTTATATGATAAATATTTTAATTTTTTATATAATAAATATTAAAATGGAAATATAAAAAATATTTCCAACATCTTAAGAAAATGAAAATTACAAGTCAACAAAAAGAGAANAATAATGTAAGTTACTTTCAAAAATTCTAAATGTTTCAAAAAAATTATGGGCGGGAGAAACCAAAAGATTTCAAAAAACAATCCATTAGCAGTAAAAACCGAAAATTTGGGCGGAATCTCATTTTTTTTTTTCCTTATGGCTATTATATAGTAATAGATAATTATTATATTTTTATGCCTTTCCATTTGTTTTCAAATTATGTATCTTTCTTAATATTGCATGACTATTAAACAAAACGAGTCATTTGTTAATTCGATTTATTTAATAACTGAGTTGAGTTTAAACTAGTTTAGTTAACGAGTCACGTCGATTTCGGCTAATTAAAACTATACAATAAAGAATTTATATAACTTTATATTGCTCGACTCGTTAGTATTGATAAACGAGTCGAGCTCAAATTCGTTTTATTAACGAGTTGAGACAATATTAACAAATAGTTCGAACTGATAAAGATTCAAACCTAAATTTAATATCGTTCACTTTGTTTACACCTGTACGGTCCTACTAATATATTATTAACTTATCAATAGATTAAATATTGTTCTCACGATTCTCACACCAGGACTAATAAACGGGTGTATTCAGTTGAAACTCTTAAACATTTTTTCAAAACTTTTTATAGTTCTTAACTTTTGTGGATTTTGTGAAACTTGAACGATATATGTTTGGTGGACATTATGGATTTTTCATAGAATTACTATTAGAGAATTTTAAAACTTTCATCATGTACTTTTAAAATATATTGGAACTTTGTATACTTACAATATAACTATTACGTTTGAATAAAATGTTCATAAAGCATCATAACTAATATCAATAAAATCAAGCTATTTTTTAAAAAATAATTAAATTGATATTCTATTTATGTACTTTTAATTAAATTGATTTCACGAACTACTCATTTTTAATTATGTATTTTTTTTTTTATAAAATACACAATCGTGTAGAACTTGTTTGAAAAAAAAAATTATTTTCACGAACAACTCATTTAGGATTTTTTTTAAATGAGATAAGTCGATTTGAACTTTCGTGAGCTTCAACGAGTTAAACTCGAGTTGAGTCTTATATTCATTTATAAACGAGTCTTTAATGGGATGACACTCGTAATCATCTTAGTCATGACATATTTATGTGATTATTATTGAAATATTTGCTTGATTTTATTTTTTTGCATCGTGTTGCAATATTACAAATATATTATTAGAATATATTTTTACGATACACAAACATTGTTAAAGGACAATGATAAAAGTGAAATTCTTTGTTGGTGCAAATGATACAAATATTTGATATATGAAAAGTCAAATTCACAATCAAGCAAATGAGAAGATAAAAGTAGGCATACAAACAATAATCACAATGAAAAATAAATAAAACAACAAATCATGTTAAACAGTTGTAACGAACAAATTAATAAACTATATAAGCTATCAAGATAAATGAGTAAAATAAAAGAGTGAAAAATATATGTGATGTATAGTTGTGTACATTAAACCTGCAGGAGAAAAGAGGTCAACAATTTGATGAGATTTCTATTAGAACTTTGTTTTTGCAATTTTATGAACAAATTTTAAAGTCTTTCAATTTAAAAAGTACCATAGAGTCTTCTGAGTTGACCTTGAATACCATATGGTTCATAGAGATTCTTAAAAGATTTTAATTGAATTGTACCTCGAGAATTTTTGAAATTTATAAAATTATTTTAAAAATCTCAATTAAATAAAAATCTTATCAAGTCTTCTTACTTGACTTTGAATACAAATTGTTTACACAAAGACTCTTGGAATGTTTCAATTGAATTGAAACATAAGGCTTTTAAAAATTTATAAAGAAAATAAAAAATAAAAATCTCGATTGAATATAAATAGACTCTTTACTTTTTATTACACCAAAATTCTAAAAAAATATTTATATATATGTATATATATATATATATATACTTTTTTAAAATTAAAACTTTTATTTGAATAACTTTATATCTATACTTATTAAAAGGTATACCATTTACCAGATTTAGTATAAAGAAAAGTCAACAACATTTATTGCATTACTATTTCCGTATTATACAATCTATACTTATATAAAAAGAGATTATATTTACTATATTTACTATACAGAAAAGTCAACTGCATTAAATGCCATTACTATTTTGGTATTATAATATTTTATTTATTTAATTGATTTATTTATTTGTTTTATTTTAAAAAGGTATGTATAATAAAAAGATTTTAATAATAAAAAAATCAAATACCAAATAAAAATGTACACTTTGACTTATTTGATTATATTTGGTATTTGATTATACCAAATATATTCCTATTTAGTATATACATTAAATACTTATTAAAGTATTTATTTATTTTATTTTTCAAAGTTAAGTATAGATTTGTTTATATTATCAAATCATAAAAAAATATTAAATCCATATTGTAAAAAAAATCATATAATTTTATAACAATTCTACTACACTATTTAACAATATTATAGTGTACAACAATAAGTAAAACTGTTACTTTCTCTTATATCAAGGTATAAATTTATATGATAAAATTAATTTTTTATTAGTATAAATATTTTAGTGAGATAATATATTAATTATTTTACAAGGTAGCCCTAACATGCTCATATTTAATGTTTTAAAAGATGTAGAAAAAAAACTTATAATAACTCTATTGTTTTTTAGACTTAAACGTTGATTAAAAGAGATAAAAATTCCTAATTTTTTAGACTTAAACGTTGATTAACACTATAGATTGAGAGTTTATATTTAGTAGAATTCCTAATTGTAATAAAAAAATTAATTTTTGCTATATTTTAGAATATCTTTAAATTAATTATAAAAAAAAAAAACTACAATGGAAAAAACAAGTCAGCTATATATCGATTTGTTGTACTCCTCAAATCACATTCACAATTTGGCTACAAGGAAAGGAAACTCATTGATTAAAATATTATTTTGTCAGTAGTCTTAATGTACAAGAGACTTTTATTGAACATTGTATAATTTTCTTGCGTATTATAAACTTTTATTGAATATTGCATCTTATAATATAATATTCTCCAAATAAATATATCTCGTGCTTTGCACGGGTCAATAGTCTTAAAATTGTGCACCCCGTGCATTGCATAGGTTATGTACTAGTTTAATAATTATATGGCGTTAATCACGTCCTCAACATGAGGGCCCTCTTCCTCCGGCACGAAGAACCTTTTCAAAACAAACACACGAAGAAAATGTGTGGAATTTGAATATACATTGACACCCAAAAGGAGATCAAGACCGTGGAGATACCCAAATAGGAAATGTGCTAAATCGTATCCAGCAAATAAATAAATAAATAAATAAAAAAGATTTTATTCTTGAGTCCCTAAGCCAGATTGAAGAGATTCTGAGGCCATGGCTGAGGGGGGCTTGTTCTCGACTTATTCATTCTTCAGCGACGCTGCTGGTGTTGCAGGTGATTTCCTAAATTCGGTTTTTTGTTGCCCATTTTTTTTTTCTTTGTTGTAATTGCTTTTGTTTTCTCTTGGTGGGTTTTTGTTGTTTGAGTTTCTGTGTGCAAATTTGGGGTTCATTGGCTCTAAAAATCTTTGTCAATGGTGGAAAGTTTTCATTTTTGGTTTCTTTAGATGTTTTCATCTTTTTGTTAATTGTAATGGGCAGAGTTGATTTGATGTGCTGATTGGTTCTTGTTTAGGATGAGAACTAAAAATGTATTTATCTGTGTTTGAAAAATTGGGGATAATGAAAAAATGGTGAAAATTGAATTGGTAAATTGATAACCCATTTACAAGCATAATGTCTTTCTAAAAAGAGTGGTATTTTCATTGGCTAAAGGTAAAGAAAGATGGGTCTTNTGTGGGTTAATGTTCTTAATTTGTTATTGTTGAAGTTTATCGATCTTTTTTCTTGTTCAAAGTCAAGAATTAGTTTCTTTTACCGTCATGACTCATTTAGACCATCTTTATACTTCTTTATCCCTTTAAAACCTGAATTTGGTCATTTTTTCAAGACTTTCTTTTCTGTTCATGGTTATATAAATGTTGAATGAATTCTTCTGTTTTTTGCAGGAAATCTCCTTGCTTTCGTGTTATTTGTATCACCCATGTAAGGGCCTCACAATTCAATATATCCCAGAATGTCTTTTGGCTTCTGATTCTAATAAATGCTTGTGAGTAATGTTTTTTTTTTTCTAATTTTTCCCTCGTTCAGACCGACTTTTAGGAGAATTATAAGAAGCCGATCAACAGAAGAGTTTTCTGGGCTGCCTTATATTTATGCTCTCTTGAACTGTTTGATATGCCTTTGGTACGGTATGCCAATTGTCTCGTCTGGCATAATCCTAATAGCCACTGTCAACTCAGTTGGAGCCATTTTCCAGTTGATTTACATCATCATATTCATTATATATGCTAATCGAAAAAGAAAGGTAATTTCAAGAATTCTGAGTTAATTACCAAAAGCACCCCAGAGTATTGTATCTTTCAAATTCACAAATGCCCCTTGATGTAAGATTATATTTTTAAGTAGATATGTAACCTCATGTGGTTATTTTTCTTTTTTTATTTTTATTTTTTATTTTGTGTAAATAATGGGGAGTTTCCACAAGTAGGCCAAAGGTCAGGGTAGTCTTTATAATTTGCCATGGAACTTATATTGTAAGTTTATAACTATTCTTATTAGTGCAGCATTATGGATACTTTAA